TTTATATGTAACTACAGTGAAAAATCGTATTTCTCTACTGTGGGAATATTTGGTACAAGTGATCGACGGGAAGAGTTCTTAGCAAGCCAAGACATGTACAAAAATAGTTAAATTAAATTTAAATAAATCTAAAAAATAGGGATTCAAAAAAATGTAATATGGTTACTATAATATCTTGCATAAAATTATTTTATATGAAAGAAAATAAATTTTAACATTGTTCCAGAATACACAAATCTTCATCACAAAAATTGAAAATAATATTGATTAAATAGTGTTTACTACAAATTTTAATTGTGATAATAAATCTTCGGTGTTTAATGTAAATCTCAAATTTCTTATTTCATCCTCCTCCTTTATTTTCCGAAACTATTATAATTAAAATAGATCATGATAACCATAGTGCTATCTACTTTTAAGAAAATCGCTTCTTTTAGGAAATTTTTCCTTTGAGAACACCATTTTGTTTTCATGTTTTCCGTGTTGTGTTGGCATTTACGTGAAAAAAAAAACTAAACAATTATATTTCAATTGTTCGTTACATAAAAATAAATAAAAAAACATGCTTTATTTCAATCGTTCGTTATTTTATTTTTTATTAAATTGATAAGTGACCTTTATTTATAATTTAAATTATCGCATTTCTATAGATCTTCACTACAATGCAAACTTTGTTTCTTGTCTTCAAGGTAATGTATTTTGATATTTTTAATAAAAAGATTAAATTTCATATGCATTTGATATAAACAATACATCTTCAAGTAGACTTATCTCAAAAAAAGACAAAAATATAGATATTTCTCATGGTTTACTTACTCTTTTTTTTTTATTTATTTAAATTATAGATTTTTTGGTTTAAAATATTGACAATGATTATTTAATACATTAAAAATCAATACATAATGTTAAATTCACAAATAAATATTAGCACATTTTAGATAGTGTTATTAAATTTCTTTTGTGTTAAATGGAACACAAGAATAGTATTTCAGTTATTTGTTGTTGAAGTCAAAGAAACACATGATAAATAGTATTTAAGAAAAATCGTTCTTTAAATATTTCGTAAACATAATCCTAACAATGGTAATAATACTTACTCAAAGGACTTAAAATAAATAAAAAATAAATTTGCTGCTTTTTTCTTTATCACTTTTTATTTGTTTTTATTTTTTTTTTCATTTTATTTATTTATTTTTTTATTAAATGACATAAAACCCCCACACAAATTGTAATTTAAATCAGTTTCCTACCGTTGAGCATATTTTTCAAAAAAATTTTAATTATTTTATTTCTTAGATTGGCAGTAAATTTTGATAAAATTTTTAGCCATCAAGAAAATTTATAAATCATATTTTTACTTAATATTAAAAATCTACGCAAATTTGTGTAAGAAATATTACGGTTTCACGCTTAAAAAAATTTCCGGATGTACTGACGATGAATAATAAAACAAATAAATAAATATTTTCAACTTAATAATAAAATACATAAGTTCAAAAATAAAAATTTACTATGCAAATCACAGATCTGCAATATAAAAAAATTCTCACAAAGACGGTAAGAAAAAAAATAATTTAGATCCCACACAAGAATCCCAAGATCACAGATTCAATCCCAAAGTAGGTAAAGAAATATTAAAAAAAAATAATTTAGAGCGATCCGAGAATCCGCAATACGTACTTTGGCTAGTTTTAATCTGAGGCAAGAAGCACGACAAATATTGCATATTCTAATTTTTAGCGTATAAAATATAATTTTCCGAAGAGCAAAAGATACAAAAATAAATTTAATCAATGATGCTCTATTAATTTCAAGAAATGACTTAGACCATTTGGAACATAGAGAAATTTGCTAACCCTGCCATCATAGATATTATAGATTTTGATTTTAACCAAAAATTTAAATACGAATTTTTTATATATTGATTTGGCGATTTTTTTAATATAGAATAATTTTATTTTTTTATCTAACTAAATTTATATAAATGATTCATAATTTTATATAACTTCTTTGTGATATATATGATATATATCTCTCTCTATTTATTTGTTTAAATTAATTAAAAATATGTTAGAACTGATAATGATAAGATCTTTAGTTTCCAATACTCCAACTTTTACTTCCATTATCATCAATCATTTTGTAAAAGGTCCTCCACAACCATCCTGGGATATTCAATTCCATATCGTATTCATCACTGTAAAAATCTTATTTGGAAGCATCTAAATACTGTTGAATATTCTCAAAAAGTCACTGCTAAAGGACTCTTCTTAAATAGAAAATTTAAAGATGAAATAGTGATTCCAAATCAATTTAGTAAAAATGCTCAACCGTATCTTAAACAGGTTATCAATGAATATGTAATAGATGATGAATGGAAACAATTTGATGATGATGACAAAGTATTAAATGCCAAATGGATTTATTTCAAAAAACAAGGATTTACGCGAAACCAAGAAAATTTAAGAGTAATACTTTAACTCTATTTACATGGAGGCTCTATTGCCTTGGTAGTACAAATTCTCATCGACAACTTACTACTAATTTAACTAAAGAAACCGATGCATTAGTATTTGGTAAGTTGATCTAATTATCAATCCTCATTTCACGGAATTGATTAAACCCTTTTTGTACTTTTTAGCAATAGATTATAGATTAGCCTCTCAAAATAAATTTCCAGCTGGACTACATGACACGATAGCTGCCTATCTCTATTTTACCAATCCTCTGGAAGATGCCAGTTTTGAACCAATTAGCATTAGCCACCCTATTATTATTTAGAGATTCTGGATTACCGATGATGGCCGGAGCGGTTTGTTTGGTAGGCGATTTTTATTTCATTCTGCATTAAATATTTGATTTAAAAAATTACTTAATTCATAAATTTTTTGCAGGACTTTTTACCTGAGATTTTTGGATAATCTTATCAATGTCAGCATTCCCACTAGACCAGTTCCAAACTTTTAATAAAATCTTCTAAATTCTGTTCATGATGTCAATCTATCTTAATCACAAACGTTTTTTGATTATATTGTCACAAATGTGCAGAGTATTTCGGATACTTTTGCCTATCAGTCTCAAAGTTTGTCTTTCACAAACTACTTTTTTAATAAGCTCTATCTGCCAGTAGGTCAAGCAAGCCGTCACTCTAAACTTGTCTATCTCAAAACAGAGAATAAATATAATGTAATTCTCTTTAATTCTTTGTTTTTAATCTGAAGGCTCAGTGAGTAAGGTGGAGTAAAAGTGCTAACACAGTATCAAATAATATTTAACAATATTTCACAATATCATGACACAAAAGATAAGTTTATTAAAATATAAAAGGTACAAATTTAAAAGTAAAGTATCCTTTAATGACAGAAAAATTATGATAGTTAGCATGTCTATTTTACCATCCCTAAAGGAAGTTTACTCTTCTATCTAATAATATTAATGTTCGAAGCTATGCGTAATCATTAATTAACTGAAGTCAAAGTTACTACTAAGACTCTGAGAGATTGCTACTTCTTTTATACCTTTTCACCTTCATTCAATTTTTGCCCGTCATCCTTCGTACTTCATCCTTCATCTTTTGTATGTTATCCTTCATCCTTTGTGCGTTATCCTTCATCCTTACATGATATCTTTTGGATGACAATACCAGTTATTATCCCAGGTGATCGTACAATCATCTTTGCATCACCATTTATCATCCCCCGTGATAATCCGTATGATTACCAGTTTACTTCGCCACAATATAAAAATATGTGGTACAAAAAATCAAATGATATAAAGTAACACAAACCTATTATCTTAATTTATTTTTAATAAAAATAAATATTTTTTTTAATTAACCAAATTTTTAACTTTCCTAAAGAATGAAGATGTAGATTCAAGTAGATGCATTGGCTGCAGTGATTGGCAGAAAAGTTGTACGAAATTTGGGGTATCAAGAATAGTTTTAATAATTATATTTCTGTATTTATTTTTGCTTAATTTCAATTTATTTAATTTATTTTAATTTAATTTATTTTTCAGCAATTTCAAGATTGTAAGAATTAGATTACATAATTGAAGAAGAAGTACGAATCAACTACATTAAGAATTAAAGGTGAATTGTGAATCTGGAATTCATCGTTGTCAGGATTTTTCGTCTTGATGTGTTGGTTATTAATGAAATAAATTTAATAATTACTAATAAAAATATATTTTATAGCATAGGATAGAAGACGTTCATAATTTGCTTTAATGATCAATCCTCCATCTGTTAGAGAAAACGACTTGATCACTCGTGAAACAATAAATATTTAGAATTCAGATCACAAGATTGAAACTTTTCGTTCTGGTGGTCCTGGAAATCAAAATGTAATCATAAAACTTAGAAAATAGAAAACCTTTTAGTGTATTAATTATTTTACGAATAGCAAATAAAGATTCTTTCTCAAGCGTCAAAAAATGGAAGATCGCAACAATCAAACAAACAACTACAATGGAAGTGTTTATATAATGAAACTTTAAATTTAATCAAAAAATTAATAACATAATTTTCTCTCAAAGATATGAATTTACTTAAAAAAATAATTATATATTAGACCGATTTCAGAAATAAAGAAAGAAAATATTCATTCGAGATTATTCGAAAATGTTCGGGGATCACATATGTAATTATTATTTTGTATATTTATTGTTGTTGCATAATCAATTATTAATTGATACTATAAATGGATTTTTATTTATCACGGATGTTTTTTAAATATTTTTATTAATTTATCAGGCCTATCCTCAAAATACAGAATACAAAATACATTGTTGTGATGATTCCCTTAGGTATGAGTACGTTACATTATTAAGAATCTTGATTAACAAACAAAAAAAAAAGAAGATTTCTGATTGCAGTATTTCTCAAGGAATCGTTTTCAATGAAAAAACATGCAGCGATGATTTTATCACGGATTGATAATCAATCAACAAGATATTCTTTAATAGATAATCCATACGATTTTCAAATACTTCATCAAGGAAGAAAGATGGATTTTCTCCAAGAACTTTTTAGATATCTGTCATAGGCATGCCAATACAATTCTGGTTGCTAAAGTTGAAACTAGCAGGGAATTCTATCCTTTGATTTGGTGTAGAACAAAAGAGGTTAATAAAAAATATAAGAGTTTCATATTTTCATTTAAAGAAGGTAATACCTAAATCCAATTCTTAGTAAATTATAGATGAATATTTGCTTTATTTTATTCTTACAATAAGATGTATATGGTCAGTATTTTGGAAACAAAAAAATTTACGATGAAATCAGACAAGTAAAATGGGTGTTTTATAGTTCTAGTTTTAATAATTGCGAAGAACCTATTAGATCAACTAGTGATAGATTTTTTTTTTTTAATTACAGTCATTAAAAAAGTAAATATTTTTTTTTACAATTAGAAATATCAATGATCCAAGCAATCAAGTTTATAATGATAGTAATTATGAGTATATGATTTGATTACTACTTAATTCGCCCATGATCGTTTTTGAGTTAATCATCAGGGCTGTGTTAAGAGGAATCTATTTTAACAATCTACACTCCGACGGTGACACTACAATTATTTATAATTCCTTGATGGAGTGGAGTATTCATTATTACTTATTATTTATTAAATAGCATAAAGCCCCATTCATTACGATTATAATTCAGTTTTAGAGTATAACGATCTTTTCATTTCTGAAAACCCTCTCTGCATCCATCCAAATGGTTTATAATCTTGAAGATTTGCTTATTGGGAAAAGAATTAATTATTTTTTTTTCACAAGATTTTGTAATAATGGTAAAGATACTATAAAGTGTTATCATAATTATTTTATGCTCTTTTTTAATATCGATGACAGCATTCGCATCTTGATCATAATATAATTTTCTTCCAATTGGGTTTATAGGATAATAAATTTATGATTTTTAAAACATTTCTCGATTTATAAAGCATGAATAAATATCTATTTATTTATTTTTTGAGTAAGTCGTTACGCCGGTATATATTTTAGAATTTTTTCCGTAAAAAAATACTAACATCTATACAATTACACGATGTTACGACTTACTCCAAAATTAAATAATAGATTTTATTCATACTTTATACAGTATATTGAATTTATATCCACAAATTGTATAAACTATAAACCTAATCGGAAGAAAATTATATTATGATCAAGATGTGAAATATCACCGATAAAAAATATATCCATAAACACGGGAACAATGAAAAAAAAGCATAAAAAAATATGATAACACTTTATAATATCCTTATAGTATCTTTATTATTATTATTTACAATAGAAAAAATCTTGTGAAAAAAAAAATAATTAATTCTTCCACTTTTCCTTTCCAATAGGCAAATAATCAAAACCATTTAGGTGCATAACGAGATTTTCAGAAATGAAAAGATTTTATAAATTTTTACTTCATAATGAATGGACGATCATGTTTAATAGTTTACTGAATGACAATGTCCAACTTTATCATCCTTTTCGACACCAATGCAAATAATAGAATAAAACGTCAACAGATTTTCCCACTGACAAAACAGAAGTAATCAAGTCATTTGCTTAATGAATGGGATTAATGGGATTTTATGCTATTTTTAAATAATAATTAAAATATAATTATAATAACAATAATAAAGTGTGTGATTTGCTTACTCATAATTCACCATGACGTGGTCTTTATTGATAAAGAAACAACAAATTTTCGAGATAATCATCATGATATTAACTGTTAAGAGAATTTCATTTTAATACTTCCGGCGATGACCATGCAATAATTTATAGTTTTATTCCATGGAGTATTTATCATTGTAAACGATTGCATTTTACATTATAATGATAACATTAAATGATTTTATTTGATTAATATTTCTAATTATGAAATATAAAATATACAAACTAAATATTTCACCAATTTCATGATTATCTGGAATAAAATTAGATGCATCTGATTTCATTGTGAATTCTTTTGTTTCTAAATACGAACCATGTATACTATCTTAAGAATAAAATAAAACATAATATTCATCTATAATTCAACTAAGAATTAAATTTTAGGCATTACCTTTTTTTAAATGAAAATACGAAGATCTCGTCTTTTTTATCAACCTTCTTTATTTTATCCCAAATTAAAGGATAAAATCCCCCCGATAATTTCAACTTTAGCAATCAGAATTGTATTGGCATGCCTATGGAAGATATCTCAGAAAGTTCTTGGTGAGAATTCATCTTTACTTCCTAGATGAAGTAATTGAAATTCATATGAATCATCTATTGTAGAATAACTAGTTGGTGAATTACCAATCCGTGATGAAATCATCGCTGCATGTCAAAACGATTCCTTGAGAAATACTGTAATCAGAAATATCCTCAATAAATATTTTTATTTAATTTACCTGACTTATTCGCAAAATACGGAATAAAAATGCATTGATGTGATGATAAGGTTTGATTACGTTATATTTTTATGAACATATTTGAACCTTTGATTAGATAATAATAAAAAATGATAATAAAATTCATTTCAGTATTAATTAATAAATTGATTCTGTAGACAGCATTAATATAACAAAAATGATAATTACATAAAATCTAATATGTGATCCCAAGCATTCTCGGGAAATTTTTAATGCATTTCTTTCATTTTTTTCACTGTTTTGTTTCTGAAATTGGTCATAATATATAATTATTCTTAGTAATTCATATCAATGAGAAAAGTTTCATCATAAAAACCTATTTCAAAGCATTTCCAAGTGATTATCTATTTTATATTTCTTTGTTATTCATAAAATAACAACTTTTTTAGATATAATTAATACATTATTATGCACTAAAAATTTCTATTTTCTAAATTTTATAACTACAATACGACTTCCAGGACCACCGGAATGAAATCAATCTTGTGATCAAAATCTAAATATTTATTGCTTCACGAGTGATCGAGTCATTTCCTTCAACTTCTAAAGCAAATAAAGTGTCTTCTATTCTATATTATTAAATATCATATAATATTAAATATACTTAATATATTTTTATTAGCATATTACTAAATTTATTTCAATAATTTCCTACGCATCAAAAGGAGAAATTCTGACAACGATAAATTCCAGATTCACATTTAAAATCAATCATAAGTGTTGTTGATTTACATCGTGCTTCAATAATATAATCTGATTCTTATAAATTTGAATGCTGAAAAATAAATTAAAATAAAATAAAATTAAAATTACAAAAAAAATTAAAATAAATACAATAATATAAATTATTAGAACTATTCGTGATATCACAAATTTCGTACGACTTCTCTGCTAATTATTGCAGTTAATTCCAAAAGAACTCGAAATTTAGCAGTATCAATTGATTTTATTAATTTATAAATGAAAGATAATAGGTCAATATTTTTGCGTTACTTACTTTTATACATGATTTACGCACCACATATTTATTTATAACAACATTGATCATGTGTATCAAGTTACATCGACGAAATTTATAATATGGACACTAAAAATATTTTGTCTAGCGGGAATGTTAACATTGATAAGATTATTCAAGAATCTCAGATAAATAGGAATAGATGGAAATGGATACCTTATGATAATTTTCATGTCACCACCAAACGCATAGCTGATAATGAATATTACACTTTGCATTTAATTAGATTAAGAAATTCCAGTGAATATCGTGGTGTTGTTGCTTTGAAGGAATTAAAAGATTATAAACATAATATTTCGGAATTAATTAAAGCGGTATGTTCCTTTATATTTAGGTTACCTAATTTATAAACAATTATTTACTTTTATTGCTGAAAATATTTTATGTATTATTCGTTTACTTATTTTTTTCAATTTATATTTCAGATTAAGAATACGCTTAGTTGGTTTCATTCTCCTTGCTTCACTGGATTTTTTGGAATTTCCAAAAATCTTTCCACGCATAACTAAATTATTGTTATGGAATCATACGATGATACCATTTATAGTTTTATATCTGATCACTTTCTAAAATTTGAGTGGGAGACAAAAGCAGATTTGCTACATCAAATAACAAAAAGTCTTGATGTTTTACATGGAAATAACTTAGTTCACTGTGATTTACATAGTAGAAGTATTTCAATTAAATATTCTAGGCTAAATTCATTAGAAGTAGCAGTGGACCCTGGTTTATGTAAATTATCTAATGATTTAACTTTAAACTCTGATAACAAAAACTATAATGTTTATGGCTCAATTCCATATATTCCACCAGAAGTATTAAGTGGAAATGAATTTACAAAGGAGGGTGATATTTATAGCTTTGGTGGAATTATGTATGAAATGGCTACTGGAAACCAATCATTTTCTGACCAAGCCCATGATGCATATTTGATGATTGATATATGCAATGGTGTAAGACCAAAGGTCTCTGATATGATGTTAAATTTAATTCCAAAACGTTATCTAGACTTGATGTATCAATGCTGGGATGATGATCCTTCTAAACCATCACCAATTAACTAATATAATATATTCTTGGATCGTTCGTGAAGAATTTATAGATTCTGATCTAAATAGAGAAATAAATCTCATGAACAAAAATTACTTCGATCTTTATATAATTTTCATCCTCAATCCTGTTATATTAGCAGACACATTTATACTCTTTATTAATTGCAAGATTCATTAGAAGAAATAAAATCCGGAAAATGTGCAGGTATTATTATTTTTAGTATAATTTAAATCTTATTATTTAAAAAATAATTAATCACATTTTTTACATTTTTAGATCCTAATTTAAGTACTTGTGATATAGATTCTCAGTAGTCGTCAAAGAATTTCTCTGCTGACATTCAAATATATTATGTATTCTTTTTTTTTGTTTATATATTTATTTTTACTTATTATTCATTTTTATATATTCAAAAATTAAAAATGAATATTATTTTTTCATCCAATTTTTTTCATTTTTTCTGATTTCTTTATAAATTATTTATTTATTTATTTTTATATTATTATTTTATTTCATTTGATCATGTTATTATTTTTATTATTTATTTATTATTATTATTTTAGAAAATGAAAGAAAATTAAGGGAAAATGAGATTCATATATTAAAATTAAAAGCTTAAACTTCTTTTCGAAACAATTTTATGGATTTGCCAGGATTAGCTTTTTTTTCGGTTTTTCTAATGAAAATTAAAGAGGAATTTGAGAAAACAAAAATCTCGAAAAATATATCGCGAAAATCTAAAAGAATTTGCGAAATGAAAATAAATAAAATAAAAATAATATGATATTTAGATAGAAAACATGTAAATGGAATTCCAATAAATATTAACAACATATTTTAGTAACATTATTTTCGGATGGTTTATTATTTTTAATTGTTCCTATTCTATTTTTTCAAAACTTTAAATCTCGAAAATTGAAATCATTTATGAAACTAAGGCGCAATTCTTCTGAAACATAGAAATATTAAAAACATTAAAAGATGAACTTGAATCACTTTCCTGTTACTACTCAATGGTATGAAGTTAACGTAATTTCTCATCCATCAATGTTCTAAAGTGGCCAAATTTAAAATCCTACAATATCATAAATAATATCATACATAAAGCTGTAAAACAGTATCTATTTAATTCTAAAATAATTCTTGTTCTGATGTTTTAGAATCTTCCTTGCTTTATCATAAAGATATATCCAGTGAAAATCCTGGTTGTTTGAAAGAGGTTGGTTAAAAGAATCCTAAAAGAGTGTCTCATCCTAAGAAGAGTCACTCTGAAAAAAAAAGAGCATCCTCTAAGGCATGTCTGAATAAATTATTATTTACATTAACTAATAATTTATTTTTCCAAAAACAGTGAGATTCAACTCCCTATTCTTGATAGCTAGATTTATATTAATTCCAGAAAAAGCCATTTGTATAAGAAAAATGAAATTTTCTCAAATGAAAATATAAGAATTACTGTCAATTGCAGTGAAATGGTTGAAACAGATACAGATTAAAAAAAGGAATCGCGATGAAGTAGAAGAGGAAAAATATCAAATTGAAAATAATTGTGGTAAAGTTTAAGAATTTATTCTTTATAAAGTATTTTTTATAATAATTAATATTTATTGATCAATTATATAGTATTATTATGAATATAAAAATAGAAAAAGGTCCAATTTAAAAAAAAAAAAACAAACTTATAACAGCAGCATTAATTAAAATGCATGTTAAAATTTCAAAATTTATTTATATGTTGAAATTGATTTTTATTTTTATTTCTTATATCATATTAATATTATTTCATTACATTATCCGTTATCATTATCATCTTTGTTAGCATCATCATCGTTGCCATTATATTATACACTCCCCTAGCAAAAGTATTTGTGGAATGATAAAATTCGAGAATAATTGCTAAAATTAAAATGTTAATTGTGGTACAATGAGTGATCTAAATTGTACAAACTTTTTTTTATTTGATTCCACTAAACTAGAGATCAACTCCTAACTCAACCCAAATCTTTTGTATTGCATCCCATAACTGATCTTGTGTTCTGATAGGTGTCTCAAATGTCGATCAATTTCATTCCAAAGATGTTCAATTGGATTTAAGTCTGGAGATTGTGCAGGCCAATCAAGTATCCTAATACCATTATCCTCAAACCATTTTTTTGTAAGATGTGCAGTATGTTTAGGGTCATTGTCCTGCTGAAAAGTGATTTCTTCCTTATTCATTCCATGCCACTTGATGGTTCCTAATATGTCTTCCTCCAAAATTTGTCTATATAAATTGCCATCCATATGTTCATAAATTTGGACTATATTATCAACTCCATCAGATATGAAGCATTTCTACACCATAATACTGTCCCAAATTTGACTGTAGGTTTGACATGATGAATGCATAACAGTTCATCAGGTCGTCTCCAGCAATATTCCCAACCATCTGATCCATAAATCATAAATTTTGATTTGTCAGACCAGATTACCTTACTCCAGTCTTCCACTGTCCATTTTTGATATTTTTTTGCAAATTTCATTCTGTGTGTTTTTTTAAGAAATGGTTTTATATGCTTAACTCGTCCACTCAATCCGTTTCTACGTAAAGTTCTTCTTACTGTACTTTCACTAACTTCAATTTGTTGTTCAGTTATTAATTTTTTTTTAATTGCAATTGCATTTGTACATTCACCTGTTGTAATAAATCACAAAGTGTTTCGTTTATACCAGCCAGTTAAGAATCTTGGACATCCAGATTTTGGTCAATTTTTAAAGGTACCAGTTCTATCTTTATGTTGCTTAATTCATATAACAGTTGATTGAGAAATATTTTCTTTTTTTGCTACATAACAGGAGGAATATCCTTCTTCAAGTAGTGTGCAAACTCTGGCTCTTTTTTCAGTAGATAAATAAATCATGAATAGTTTATAAAATGACAGATGGCAAAGTATGCCATAAAGTATCATTTTTATATGTGCTACATAGTGTATTTTGATAGAAAAAAATCACGTATAACTTGTTTATTTTTATTTTTATAAATCGGTCAAAAAAATGCATCACAACTTTTTAAAAAAATTATATTTTAATAAATAAATTTAAAAAAAAGATAATGTAAGCTGATAAAATAGGGTTTGACAAATCTATCAAATATGTATTGTAACACTGTACCTCCAAAATCACAAGATATAACAATTTTAAAATTTTTATTCAGGTGATGTAATACTTTTGGCTACCACTGTTCATATCCATATAATTTCCGATAAAGAAATAATCAACGTTCAAATTCAAAGTAAAATTTTTAAGAAATTTATGCTAAAAAATTAACTCATTCCAATTTTTTGAACAATTTCATAACTATATTTGGACTACTAAGTAAACAAATTTGGAAGGTCATTAAATATATATGTTAAAAGTTCTGTATTTTTTGGTTAAATATTTATTGAGAAATTTTTATTTTTTAATATGTATTAAATTATTGATCTTTGACAAAATTACATATACCACAAGAATAATTAAATGAAATAAACCAGATTGTAAAATATTTTCATTTTATTGTTATTATTGTATCAATAATTCATAATATTTACAAGTTATTAATTTTAAATTAAAAATGCCAAAACTTTGAAAATTAACTGATTTTGATAAAGGTGAAATTATTGGTCTTTGGAAAGGAAACTATAGCAATAGTGATATTTCTAGAATTCTGAAACATCCAGAATCAACAATTGCTTATATAATTAAAAAATATAAAGTAAAAAGTACAACTTCCAATGCCCCCAGAACTGGAAGACCTGCAGTACTAACTGAAACTGATAAAAGACAATTAGTAAGAATTGTTAAAGACAACAGAGCAGA